GCTAAAAACCAGGCGTGGTGGGCAGGTGGTGGGCACACCTGTAATCCCACACGCTGGAGGCTGAGGCAGGAGGATCGTTGCCAGTTCGAGATCAGCCTGGGCTACAAAGTGAGCTCAAGGCCAGCCTGAACTACATAGTGAAACCCTGTCTCAAAAACACACACACACACACACACACACAAAGCAGCTAAAAGCAAAGCAAGAGAAGGGAAAAATAAGAAAGATGAAATCAATAAAATTGAAAAACAAAAACAATAGAGGAAGTTAACTGAATATGAAATCTGGTTCTTTTAACAGATCAACAAAATTGAAAAGCCTTAGCCAAACCAAACGCAAAAAATATGAAAAAAGTACTAATATCAGGAAAGAAACTGCTTAAAAAGAAAGAACAACTGGGATGAGGGAAAAGAGAAAACAAAGAAGGAAGGGGAAAATATATATATATACACAAGATAGCTAAGATAATTGTACTACTAATTTCTATTGGTTTATTGAAAGGAACAGTTAATGTGTAAGTGTTTGATCAGTCTTACATGCCTATATCTGGTTATCTAAGTAACCCCTTTAAAAATAACAATATGTAACACAACAACCATTGTTAATTTCCTATCACCTTGTTTTGAAATTCTGTATCATTTTTATTGTTTTTATGTTGTTTTGTTTATGTCTTTGTTTCTGTTATTTTGTTTTTGCTCTTTTCTCTTTAAAAAGAAGTACTAAATATCAGTGAAGGGTTGGAGATATAGCTCAATGGTAGAGCGCTCTCCTAGCATAGGCAAGACACTGAGTTCCTTCCCTAGTACTCAAAAAAAATGAAAAAGAAAAAAAGAATTAAATAGAGAAAGTCACCACAGAGCCTCTAGACAATCATGTAATAGTAGTACGTGAAACAACTTGATGTCAATAAATTCAGATATTTAGGTGAGAGGAACTCCTTCAAAGAAACAAACTACAAAAGCTCTCTCAAGAAATAAGATATACTTAATAGCCCTATAATTTATTAAAGAAATAGAAGTTATAATTTATTAAAGAAATAGAAGTTATAATTTCAACAAAGAAAACTCCAGGCCCATGTACCTTTGCTGGCAAAGTCAGCCACTTTAGAGATAATACCAATTTAATACCTGGGGAGCATAACACTAACTTCGTCACAAAGGTGCAGAAAAATGGGTCTATAAGACGCATGTTTATTCTTTAGAATACTTCTATTGATGAATTATTAATTTTAATTTTATGTTTTGTTATATTAAACAATGAGCACTTAAAAAAAATGAGCACTTAACAAGAAAAAAATCACAAAAATAAAGGATTGGATTTTTAATATTTATTGAGTGTTTATAAAAAGCATCAAAATTTTCAATGTTGATTGTATTTTGGTGTACAAAGTCTAAAGAAGAACAACACAAATAAATTCTTATATGAACCATAATGAAAATACAGATATCACTCTACAAAAAAAAACCTTTACTTCAATTATCACACCCAAGGCAGTCTGCACACATGACAATAGCATGTTCCATGCACAGGTATCGCCTACTCTGACAGCGCGCATCTTCGGCTTTCCTGGCCTTTTGTAGGACATACTCGACATCTCAGTGTCTTGCTGTTTTGTCAGGAGGTTCTTATTATATCATACAGTGTGTAGTTGACAGGAACATAAAATATCAATATAATAAAGTATTAAATTCTTAATATCTATTGTGCATTTAGAACAGACATCAGCATTTTCACATTAGCTGTGTACTTGCTTACAAAACCGAAAAGATACATCAGAAGTAAATTCCTACATGAACTGCCGTGAACATACCAATAGAACTTTACCATGAAATAAGGTTTGCTTCAACTGTCACACCCAAGGCAGTCTTCACACAGGACAACTGCATGTTCCATGCACATGTCTGGATTACCCTGACAGCATTTGTGCTCAGCTGTCCTTTCCTTTGTGCCAATTTTGTCGCCTGTCTTCCTGTTTTGTCAGGAGCTTCCTACTATACTGTACAACATGCACTTAGCAAGGAAATAAGATATCAATAAAATAAAATATCAAATATGTAATGAGTGCTTAGAATAGACATCAGCATTTTCACATCAGCTGTTTCTATGCTTACCAAACCTAAGAGGTAACATCAGAAATAAAAACTTATGTGAACTACAATGTAAATACAAACAGAAGTCTACAGTCTGAGACACACAGCCAACCACTATTATGCTAATGTACAAATTTACAGTAGAAAGTTAGGGATGGGTCCCCTGGACCCAGTGTTATGCTCCTACCAAATTCCTCTAGAAGGAGTAGGTAACAGGTCAAGTAACAGAAGAAAACAGGTCCTCAACCATTTTATGAGATCAGCATTGCCCTGATACCAAAGCTAGACAGTATAGACCAGAGCTGCTCAGAAACAAGAATGTGAACATCCTCAGTAAAACCATTACTGATCAAATCCAGCAATAGATCAGAATGACAGCGCATCATAAATTAGATTTATCCCAGAAATGAAAGGGTGATTAAACATTTTTTAAAAATCAATGTAGTTCACTGTATCAAAAGACTACATAAGAAAAACCACATCAGGTAGACAAGGGGTGTAGCATCTTGTTATGGTTTGTGTCTGCATGTCCCCCCCAAATCCTCATGCAGTCATGGGGCAGGCCTCTAAGATTATGGGTGTGAGTGCTGCACCGCCCTGGGGTGGGTAGTTTGCATACAATGAAGGGAGAGGAAGAGGCCACTTGCTGCCATTCCTCCCTTTTGCTCTTGTTGCTCTTGCTGTTTTCTGCCACCATGAATGGTTGCCCTCTGCCATGGGCCACTCTGCCTTGGAGCCAGCTGAGTATGGACTAAAACCTCAATGAACTGTGAGCTAAATAAACCTTTCCTTCCTTATTTTTGGGTGTCAAGTATTTTGTCTCAGCAATGAGAGAAAAGTAACCAAGACACATCTCAGTGGCAGGATGGTAGTGCTTCAGTTCCACTCTCTACCATTGCCTATAGCTCAGGGTTCAATCCTCAGGATGACAGAGAGAGAGAGGAGGAGTGGGAGAAGGAGGAGAGAGAGAGGGCCAGGGAGGGGGAGGAAAGGGGAGGGAGGGAGAAAGAGGGTGGGAGAAGGCAAGGGGTTAGAAGAGAGGACTTTCTCAACCTATGAAAAGGCTTTGGTGTTAGTTACACATTGCTGCGTAACAAAGCACCCCAAACACAATGCAAACATTTATCTCTGGGTGCCTCTGGCTGAAGGTCTCTCACAAAGAGAACCGGTGTTGTCAGCTGAGGCTCCCTGGAGCTCGGTGGTCGCAAGGAGCTTACTCCAAGCTCATTGGTGGTTGTCCCTAGGACTTTTCTCTCAAGGATTATTGGACTGATTTCCTCCAACAGAAGCAAAAATACCTGTTCACCCAGAAGGCTATGCATGAATGTTTACAGCGACTTGATGCATCCTCATCAAAAACTGGGGGGGGGGGGCACAAATATTCCTCACCGGGGATGGGTAATACACAGTGGTACGTTTGCGTGGGAGTGCTGCTGATGAACGCACCACAGAACATTTCAAAAGCATTCTGTTCAGTGAAAGAAACATCCTCAGAAAGTTTCGGACCGTGCAATTCTTTGTCTACAACCGTCTGGAAAAGGCAAAGCTATGGTGACAGAGAAACAGATCTGCAGTTGCCACTGGAAGCGCTTTGTGGGCGGCTCGCAGTGCACCTCTAGGCCACCGTGGACCCCGTTTAGGCCCTGGGCAGCCCCACCCGCTCACCGCCGTCCACCTCCGCGTTTCCTAGCAGGCTGCTTGGATTGGGGGCCGGTGGAGCAGGACGGAGGGCGCCCACCTCCGCGGCAGTTCTGGGCCAGGCTTCACAGGATGGATAGGAGCCCAACTCCAGCAAGGCCGCGCTGCCAGCGACCTGCCCGTCGCAGACCGGCGGAGCCCTGCAGAGCGGCCTCCGCTCCGGCCCTCGCTCTCCTCGGCACCAAAGCTGCAGCGGGCGGGCTGCGGGCACCCGAAGGAGTGACCTCGGTCATTGCAAGGTGTGGGCAGGGGTCCCAGGGTTTGGGAGGGGCTGCTCATGCCGGTTTCTTCCCCTAGACGCTGGGACAGCTGCGTTTGCCACGACCTGCAGGAGTTGGTTTTGTTTTTTTGGTTTTTTTTTTTAATGTACTGGGGATTGAACTAAGGACCTTTGCACTGAACTACATCCGCAGCCCTTTTTGTACTTTTCCAGAGGGAGTCTCGCTAAATTGCTAAATTGCCCAGGCCAGGCTCGAATTCATAATCCTCCTGCCTCAGCCTCTCAGAGTGCTGGGATTACAGGAGTGCGTCACGGCGCCCAGTTTGGATTTAGCAATCCCGTGGATCTTCACCAGCCGCTGGACGAGCGAGGGCCGCAACCCGAGGCCGGGACAGCTCTGCCACGGAGCTGGGCTCCAGCGCAGGCTGGGCAGGCGGGCGGGGCGGTGAGGCTCCGCCCACATCGGCCGGGGCGGGGCTGGTTCCCATGACGACGCGGGTGGGCGGGGCGGGCTCTGCGGGCGCGGGCTCCGGGAGTCCCGGGAAGGAGTCGTAAGGCGCCAGCTGCGGCCCGGGAGGCCCCTCCGCCCCCCGGCGACGCGCGGTGTCCTCTTGCGGCCAGCAATTGAGACCCGAAATTAGAACCGGGGAAGCCCTTGGCCTTCCTGTTCTCCCTCCTCGCGGGTGTCAGATCGGATGAACCACACGGCTGAGCAGATCGGCTTGCAGCCGGCGCGTTGAGGATGCCGGCTTGCATTTTGCTTGCAGGGTGTCGGGCAGGCGGGGAGCTGGGGCGCCCTCGTCCCTGACCGCGCTCTCTGCCGAAGCAGGGCCCGGCGTGGGGCGGCCTCAGGACCGGCCACGCGGGTCGGCTCCGTAACGGTGCCCTCGGCACCAGGTCCTCGACAGCAGCCCCTCGCGTCTGGGCCGCCGAGTGCAGCCCGACCCTGCCGTTATCTCTCAGAGACTTTAGAAAGCGATGTGAAAATCCATTGCAAGATTTATTCCTCTGGGATGGAGAAGTATGAAAAAATCGGGAAAATTGGAGAAGGGTCCTATGGAGTTGTTTTCAAATGCAGAAACAGGGACACGGGTCAGATCGTGGCCATCAAGAAGTTTCTGGAATCGGAGGACGACCCTGTCATTAAGAAAATCGCCCTTCGAGAGATCCGCATGCTCAAGGTAATGATTCACTTTTTCTTGAAGGTGGATTTTCAGGGTTTGAAAAAAAAATAAGAGTCTTAGTTTGTCGCATGAATGTGTTGGGGCCTTCGTTACCTGTCCTTTCTTCACGGCCTTGTGCAGCGACACTGACCGGGTCTGTGCGCATCAGCTGCATAACGACCTAGGAAGGACAGGTGTAGGACAAGATGTTGAAGCATATTTTATTTTTCTTCCCAGTAACTCCTCTCCCATGTCACCTGCAGACCTGGATTTTCAAAAGCCAGTGCACTGCGATGGTGCAGGAACTTAGAACAACTCAATTTTGCCAGCACTCTGGAATTGTAAACTTCTAGGCCGTTTTCTATTGGCATTCCCGACCCATTAAGAGAATTAGTCATTCTTCTGTGGTCCGACTGACTTCGAGAAAGACAGCAGGATTGTGTTACACCTCACTTTACCTACTGCAGGAAGGGGTCCTCAGGAAGTAGTGACATGATCACTTCCTCAGCGCACTTCATTCAGCCCTGTGGAACCTGATATGGGGGGTCGTTATGACCTGAAAGTATTTACCTCTAAGGGAAAGAGGCTTCTTCTGGGAATTCACCGCAAAGCACAGAGTGTGGTGTGACTCAGTCATCCTTGGGGGAGCGTCCCGGGTTTGCTCTCATCCTTGCATCTCCATCTTTCCAGGCCTCTCTGCCGATGTTTACCCACGGATAGTGTTGGGGTCTTTTCTAGATAGGGACCCTGAGTGGGAAGTGGCCAGTTGTGGGTGAACTAAAATGCGTGAATAAAGCCCGGGATTCTTCGAGGCTGAAGCAGGAGGATGGCAAGTTCAAGCTTCACCTAGGCAACTTAGTCACTTAGTCTCAAAATAAAAAAATAATGGAGGGCTGGGGGTATAGCTCAGTATGATGGCCCTGTGTCCAGTCCTCAGCATGGGGAGAAAAAGGAGTGGGTAATAGGAAAACTTCTGTCTTAACTAGCAGGATGTTATCTATTCTGAGAAGACCTCTGCCTCCTAGGGAGGGTGAGACCCGCGGGGATTGCCCCTCTCACAGGCTGGGCCGCTCTGGCTTCCCGCCTCCACTCTGGGATGTTGCTGATTGCATCTCCCTTTTCTCAGGCTTTCTGCAGGGGAGAAAGTGCGACTACAGCACTCCCCTCCAGCCGTACCAGGGGCTGAACCCAGAGCCTCGCGTATGGCATATGCTAGGCACGTGCTGCGCCACTGAGCTCCAGCTGCAGTCTGATAGCTAAACTAAAAGGGGCCAGAAAAGCAGACCTTTTCCTGGAAGAGACGCGCTGTTTTTCCGACTCTGCAGGTCACCGCCCCTCACTGCCTGTTATACCACCGTGATCACGGGCGCCGCTCCTCAGGGAGTGGGGCACCTGGGATGCTGGCCTTGCCTCTGGACCTCTGCATCGCAGGGCGCATTCTTCCGCACACGCTAGACCGCCGATAAATGTCACTGTTGTATTGAAAACAGAAAGTGAACAGAATAAGCTCTTAGCGAAAGCAGGCGTGGGCGCGCGTTAGGAAGCGAGACCTGCAGTGGGATGTGACCGTACCGAGGGGCGAACTGTGCTCGCAGCTGAACTCTGAGGCAGGTGTGTGCGCTGGAGCCTGATTTCAAAGCATGCGGAGCCCCACTCTCTGAAGCACGCACACAGCAGCGAACACTGATCTGTGTGAGGCGCAGGACTGGATTCCCGGGGGAGTCTGTGCTTTCGGCCTTAACTGCTCAAAATTCTGTGATTTTCCTAACACCTTCTAGGTATTTGATGAATATTCAGCGAATGCATGAAATGAAGGTATGTGAAGTCAGGTCATCTCTTCTCCATTTAGTTGTCCAGTAAATACTCAAAGAGCCCCAATTGTGCCCCAAACAATGCTTGTGCAAAGTTGTAGACTGTCTCTTCTTGGAAAGGAGGCACGGTGAATTTCCCCTGGGCTGTCACTCTTGATACACTGGATTCCTAACAGACACGGCCTGTGTCGCCCGCCGTGTGGCCCGGTGCCTGCCAAGAACTCTCGAAATGGCTGCGGAATCGTGAAAATAAAGCATGAGGAGGCGGGCCTGAGCTTAGGTGCTCAAGTACAAGCTCGGTTCCGTGAGGGAACACAGATGGTCCTCCAGTCTTGGATAGGATGCCTGGCGGAAACAGGAGGGAGAAGGAGGAGGGAAGGAAGCCGGGATCCAGCCGGAGGGGGCGTAACGCTTCCTGTCTTGGTGCCCAGGCCCAGCGCTGGAGAAGCGGCCTTGAGGATAGCTGCACCTCGGTTCCGCTGCCCCTCAGGCTTGGAGCGGGGAGGTCTAGATAAGGTGTTGGGCCTTGCTGGGCTGGGACTCGAGTTATCCTCCAGTGCTAGGGACAGAGGCAGGTGCCCCCAGGCCGCCCTGCTTCAGCGAGGACAGAGAGATAGACCTGACAGACAGACACACAGACAGAGGCAGGGTGGGGCCACTGGACAAGGGAGGCTTTGAATGAGCTATCTTTGGCTTTCTGCTGGAAAGGAGGATCGCTAGCCAAGATGATGTTTTTATTAGAAAGTTGTCATCTGCAAGTTTTTTAGCATTCGTGAACCAATGTCATTTCAGAAAACTTTTACAGATTGGGAAAGGGTTAAGTCTTTTCATTATTAATTTTTGCAGTGCCGGGAATCAAACCCAAGGCTTTTCTTAAAGTAGGTAAACCCTCTACTATGAGCCCGACCCCAACCCCAGTAAGAATTTTTAAAAACCCAATCATGGGGCCGGGTGTGGCGGCGCACACCTGCAATCCCAGCACTGGGGAGGCTGAGGCAGGAGGATCCTTGTGAGTTCGAGACCAGCCTGGGCTACAAAGTGAGCTCAAGGCCATTCTGAACTGCATAGTGAGACCCTGTCTCAAAAATACAAAAAATAAAATAAAATAAAATAAAAAATAAAAACCCAATCATGATTTTTAAAAACCAATTACTGTTACCACCACTTCCTAACATTTTAATGTTAAAATAAAAAAGAAAACTGGGCATGGTGGTGCATGCCCATAATCCCAGCTACTTCAGAGGCTGAGACAGGAGGATACTGAGCTTGAGGCCGGTTTAGCAATTTAGTGAGACCTTGTTTCAAAAATGTTTTAAAAGGGAGGGGGATATTGCCTCTCACTCAGCAGCAGGACGCTTGCCTAGCATACTTGAGGCCCTGGGCTCAATCCCCAGTACCACAATTAGAAAAAGAAAGAAAGCATGAAGGATAATGGGGAGGAAGGGAAAGAAAGAAAGGAGGTGGGGGAGGGGAGGAGAGGAGAGGCAAGGGGAGACAAATGTAGAAAGAAAAGGCACAAGGTAGCACACACCTATAATCTCAGCACTTTGGGAGGCTGAGGCAGGAGGATTAAAAGATCAAACCCAGCCAGAGCACTTTAGGAAATAATTGAGACCCTGTCTTTAAATAGAAAATGAAAGAAAAAAAATGGCTGGGAATGCAGCTCCGTGGTAAAGTCCTCCATTCAATTTCCAGTACTGAAGAAAGAAAGAAAAAAAAAGAAAGAATGAATGAAAAGAAAAGAACAGCCCTCCTGCAGAGAAATTAGTTGACAGCTATAAATAACAGCTTTAGTGTGAGTGCATGTGTGTAATTGTATGTGTATGTATCGTTGCTCTTTTTTCCCCTGTGTCACTATTACTGAAAGTAACATTTTTTATTTTGTGCATTCTCAATCTCCTGACAGTAAACATTGTATCTGGAAACAAAAAGATTCCCCAGATCCAGTGGTGTTCTATTGTAGGATCTGTGTCCTGTGTAACAAAATACTGGAACTGTAATACCAGTTCCCTACAAGGGGCTAGTCTCTTAGATTTTATTTTATAGTAGAATTTGGTTTGTATCTAACCTCAGAATTCATAGGTATGTTTTCCAAACTCTTTACTTAACAATTTAAAGCAATGTACCAGACACTTTTAAAAGCTATAGCTGTTTCTTCTTAAACAGGGACAAACATGGGAGTGAAATGCCAAGCAAAAATTTTTAAGACATAGCCTCATTATATTGTCTAGGCTGGAACTCCTGGGATCAAGTGATGCTCCCGCCTCAACCTTCCGAGTGCTGGGGCTGCAGGAGCATGCAACTGCTCCCCTCCTCAACTGGGCAATGTTTTGTGTCCCAGTCTGGTGCTCTACCCATGGTGCCACCATGGCTAGCTTCAGTTGGGCAATTTTTAGGACCACAAATCTAGAATGTGTCATGTTTTTAGCATGAAGGTGTAGCTCTGCGTTGGTAAATTGGGTGATAATTATTATCAAGAAACTTTTTTTTGGGTCTTCACTATGGGGATTGAATTCAGGGTTTCACACATGCTAGGCAAGCACTCTAGGGCTGAGATACACCCCCAGCTTTTTTAAAATTTTATTTTGAGACAGGATCTTGCTAAATTGCCTGGGCTATCCTCAAACTTGTGATCCTCCTGCATCACTCTCCCGAGTACCTGAGATTATAGACATGTACCATCATGGTTAAATAAAAAACCTGTTTTGCTAAAATGTGGGGGCTGGCCTAGCGTCACAAGCAAGGTCATTGAGGACACCCCTGGAATAATCCAAGTGTGAGGTGATAGTATTTGAGTCAGAGAGGTAGTGGTAGAGGTGGTAAGTGATCGTCAGATTGTAATTTTCCAGAGAGAACAGCACTCAGGAGTCTGATGGTTGGATGAAAAGCCCACAGTGATTCGAAGGTTTGGGGGCTGGGGATGGAGCTCAATGGGGAAACGCTTCCCCAGCAGTGCTCGCGGTGATGAAAGCATTGCTGTAGTCATGACCTTGAATTACTAATCTAGACCATGATCCCAGCTACACAACAGCATAATAAAAGACCGGTTCATGTAGCTTCTAGAAGATTATGCTGCCTTTTATTTGGAATGTCGCTGGGTACTTTACACACACTGTCTTTAATCTCCGTTGTAAGAGGACCCACACCTGGCTCCAAGACATAGGTGTAGATCTTTGTTCACCAAGGGCTACGATGTCTTCTGATTTG